CTTGTATGTCTTTACAATTTAAAAACTCCTTGAAAAAGTTTTTTTTTGCAATAACGGACCCTATTTGCACAAATTCATAAAAGCGGACCCTGGTTGAAAGAATGCGAGTAATTTTTTCACAATTTCACGAAAAACGGACCTTTCACAAAATGTCTGGACAGACCCCTGATTGTCATACTAGCATGTCATACTTCACAAAATAATTTATCTTTTAATCAGACCCTTCACAAATTTGTTTATCTTCATTATTGTTTTGTTAATCAAATAAACCCTTCCCAGGAAGGGGGGGGGAAGAAAGACAGATGTAAACGAACTAAATTTTTTCTTCAGCAGACGCTTCTTCCTTTATTCGTCCGAAATGAATATTCTGCGTTCAGCAGTATAGGCTAAATACCAAATATTTGTATGTTTCATCGCTAATTTAGTAGGTAAAATTGCTGTTTATTTTTTAAAATTTAATTTTTTTAATTATAATTTTATTTACAGTGTTGAGCATAATCTTGTATGTCTTTACAATTTAAAAACTCCTTGAAAAATTTTTTTTTGCAATAACGGACCCTATTTGCACAAATTCATAAAAGCGGACCCTGGTTGAAAGAATGTGACTTAACGTTTATTTTATATTCGCAAATTATGAGTAATTTTTTCACAATTTTGCAAAAAACAGACCCTTGACGGTAATCAAATTTCTTTTGAAATTCTTAATTCAGTCTTCCTCAATCGAAATTAATCAGATTTTGATAAAATTTTATTCGTTACTTAAATATTGACACCACAAATGGGTATATTTTTTAAAATTTTTATTCGGTGATTACGAAGCACTTTCCATACAACATACATATTTGCTTTTTAAACTAGCACAAGAAAACATCAAGAAAATCCACAAAATTTTATTTCACCAAGAGTTTGCATCGCTTTGTTTAATTGAATTGATAGATTTGTTTTGATAACTATTTTATTCGTATATTTTTATTATTATTATCTCGTATTGAATTCGTATATTTTTATTTGCATAACATGTTTCATTTGTAGAAAATCATTTACAACAAAATAAAATTTGAAATTATAAAAATAAACTTCATTTACAATAGAGATGCCCATTTTGTTGACTGGTGGCAACACAACTGCAGGTGGAATAGCTTGGCTATCCATTGATAAAGATTGCATTCTTCATTATCAAGTATACCTTACTGGCTTAGATGCTCGGGAGCGTCATTTGTTGGAATTACTGCAAGTGAGACCAGGAAAATATCACCACCCTCTACAGCGTGTCTTGAAAAAATTCGAAGGGGAGCAGGTAATGGTAATGCAATGTCACTTTTCATTCACATTTCCCTCCTTTTAAATTAACCTTCTAACATAATCATATATAAGAATGGGAAGAAAATCCTGACTAAATGTTTCAGGGTGGCTACAAAACAGGGGAAAGTCGGGTAATTAAAGTAATATGCCTAGAAAGTCAGGGAAATTCAAATGTTATAAGTTTAAGGTTCACAAAGTCTAATATTTTTTCCAAAATAATTAGTTTTTTTAAGAATCGTTTGTTTATTTTAAATACTTATTTTTAACTTTAATAGGAAGTTTAAGTATTTTCTAACATAATTTAAGTTTTAGATTTAAAGCATTTCTGAGAGAAGTTACAATAAAAAATAAAATTTCTTTCACTGATTACAAAAGTCACGGAAATTTTATAAAATCAGCTAAATTTTTCTGAGTATTTCTGGCCACCTTATTGAAACAACTATTAGGTTGAAAAAATAACTATTAGTTTGTAACAATAACTAATTGGTTGAAAAGGTACCTATTTTCAAGTTGAAACAATAACTAATAAGTTGAAACAATAACTATGATCAGATTAAAACAATAACTATTATCAGGTTGAAACAATAACTATTATCAGGTTAAACAATAATGATCTATGATCAGGTTAAAACAATAACTATTGTCAGGTTGAAACAATAACTATTATCAGGTTGAACAATAATTAATAGGTTAAAACAGTAAACTAATAGATTAAAACAATAACTATTTTAAGGTTGAAACAATAACTAATAGGCTGAAACAATAACTATTATAAGGTTGAAGGAATAACTATTATTATAATTTCTCTTGAATTAAATAGTAATTTTATTTACTTAATGTAATTTTATTAAACATACATTTTATCAAGTAAGATTAAGTTAGTATATACGTTATCTAGGTATTTTTCTCGTTCTTATTTTTGATAAGAAGTTACTTAAATTTTAATTTTTCGTCAGCTAGTTCTTAGTAAGAATGGTATAATTTTCATGCATTTTTCTTGAAATTCTTTTTGTAAAAAATTATTTTATTTATATATTTAAAATATAATTAGTTTTTAGATATATTTGATAGATAATAATTATTTTTTTCCTCGGAAAAACAGACACTCAAATGTAACCATAAAAGCTACAAACTATTTATTTTTAAAGGTTGTCTTTGTGCTTGTCTATTTAAATCCGTTAGCAGTTATTACGAATATCTCTTTCCTGATGTAAAATTTTTTTTTTGTCGTCTCTGAAATTTGTCATTTCGTCGTCAAATAATAAAGTAGTTTTCCTAAACGGCAGACGGTATAAAAAAGATGTAAATTTTTCCTCAGGTTGAAGACTTGGCAGAGGACTTGGATGGTCGTAGTTTGGCTTTCATACAACAAGGCTACACTTACCTGGTTGTGACATCGAAACTTAACAGCAAGGCCAAGGCTGTCGAGCTGAGAGCTAAAATAAACGAGGTTAGCTGATTTCTTTTACATACACGTTTCATTTTACAAAACGATGCCGTCCTTATTCAAATAACGCTTGAACTGATTTTATTTTATATGAAAAGAAAATGCCTTTCTAAAAAAATGAACTGCAATGCAATTGTTTTTAAACGAGATAGTATTTATGATGAATGCTTCTATTTATAATGCTGAATAATTGCTGTATAATTAGAATTGCAAACGGTCTATTTTGAAAGCAACATTTTGAATTTTTTATTTTTTTTTTAACTTTTATGTTAGTTTACTTTTATGTTGGTATGAAATCTTGAAATCCAAGTTCAGCTGGGGCTCTATGTCTCATTATAATGCAAGCTCCAATCATTTTCTGATAACTACAAACGGAATTTTATCTATGCTGTGAATCATACTGTGTTCATCAAAATTCTGGAAGCTTTAAGACTAATTAGAGTGCTCAAATTTCTGTTTGAATTTAGTTGAATGCAATTAATTTATCGCTAAAAGGATTTTACCACCAATCAAAAATTTGGTCATCGTCCGAGTAACTACAATGCTTCAGTTTAAACAGGAGCTCCGTGCTAGATAACAATGCATATTTTTGATTTTACCACTACAAACAGAATCTTTCACTTATTTTAGCCAAAAGAAACTTATCGTCAGTACAGTCGAAGATTCGATTGATTTCCTTTATTCAAAAAATTATTAAGATCAAAAAATTTCATATGATTTTTTTTTAAATAGTTTGCATTATGATTAAACACTTCTTTCACTTGAATAAAAGATGTCAAAAATCTTTTTCCAACATCTTTTAAAATATGAATGGTGCGTCAAGCCAAATATTGTGCTTCTAGAATGTATTAACGAACTACATTCTGTGGTATTTCAAATACCTTCATGAATTATCTTATTTAAGGAACCTCAACCCCCTTTCTATTGGTAGTTCCATGCACAGACATTTCGAAAAGCTTAAATGTCCACGAATGTTTCAGGGATGGTAAAATTATAAATTTTCTTATAGCGTGTTTTTATAAGCTAAGAAGCTTTATACGACTTAAAATTTGTCTTTCAAGAAGTTATAGTTTTGGAAAAGAGTAAGAGACATTATCGAGGTACAAGAATTTGTTATTAATCGATTCAAATGCCAATTCGATTTCATTCTACTTTTGAATGTATACTACGTTAGTTTCAATGATTACGATTGTATATTATTGTTTTTTAATACAGCTCTACACACCCCCCAACTGCCTTCCAAGTTACGATGCATCCTCCAAAACAAGAAGTGGGAACACATATCAGGATGGATACAATGACGTATACGGGACAGATTTGAGGAATACGTGTGAATATGAAGGTACTATTTATGATGATGGAGATCATTGGAAAGGTGAACACGAAGAATGCACCATGTGCTCTTGCCAGGTACATTTCTCTTTCTCACTTCTAAATTAAACACAATTAAGAGCTAAAGGCTTATTTAAAATACTTTTGTTTTCTCCATAGAGAGGCCGCGTTGTTTGCGAGAGGACAATATGCCCCAAGCCATTGTGTAACAATCCTATGACGATGGAAGGAGAATGTTGTCCCTTCTNCGTTTTTATGAAATGATATTTTGTGAAGGGTCCGTTAAAGGACCCAAATTTCTTCTAAACAGACCCCTGCTTAGTTTCAATGATTACGATGAAATATTATTGTTTTTTTAATACAGCTCTACACTCCCCCCAACTGCCTTCCAAGTTATGATGCATCCTCCAAGACAAGAAGTGGGAATACATATCAGGATGGATACAATGACGTATACGGGACGGATTTGAGGAATACGTGTGAATATGAGGGTACTATTTATGATGATGGAGATCATTGGAAAGGTGAACATGAAGAATGCACCATGTGCTCTTGCCAGGTACATTTCTCTTTCTCACCACTAAATTAAACACAATCAAGAGCTAAAGGCTTATTTAAAATACTTTTGTTTTCTCCATAGAGAGGTCGCGTTGTTTGCGAGAGGACAATATGCCCCAAGCCATTGTGTAACAATCCTATGACGATGGAAGGAGAATGTTGTCCCTTCTGCCCAAGTAAGCCTATTTATCCATCCAATTTTTTTTTCTAACTTGGTATCAAAATTTTTAATGTGCATACAATAAATATTTTTAGGAAGCTATTAAAAAAGTATTGTTAAAGGAAATGTAGGATTGTTCGAAATGAAAACGTTATAAAAATCCGATGAATCACTACTGAAAAAGGCGGGACTAAAATCATCAAAACCTGTTTGATTGCTGAAGGAAACTGAGAGGAGTTGAAAGGCACCTTCAAGTTTCATAGAGCAATTAAATTGGCTATGGTGTTTGTGATGTACTTAATTGCCGACTTTGTGACGTTCTTTTGTCGCTTAAATATTATTTTGTGACCATTAAATTGACTCATTTATTTACCTCAATTTCCATTTCATGTTTTTTTATTATCAGTGTTTTTTTTTTCTAATTTTTAATTTTGAAAATGCATACTAAAGTGGGCGTTACGAAACAACTTTCTCTAGACGTCAGTTATTAAGCGTTTCGTTACTATCAGTACGTTTTTATAATGTACCGATACACGTTTAACTATTTTTTACTGATGTTACCCAAATGCTACGAATCGGAAATTTAGATGCTGGAAGCAATAAATAAACTATTAAAAACAAAATTGTAGTAATGATTTATTTTCATGATATTGTATAGTTATTCACGCTTGAAAAATTAAAAATCAAACTGCAGTGGGTCCCCAATTATCTGACAATTTTGATCTTTAAGTGAAAATTTGGATCATTTCCTGGTGTCCACTAGCAGAATTTATTGTCAATCAAACTTCAAAACATCTTTCCGACTGACTTGAGTGCTCATATATTATCTGGAGTTCTCTGCCTAATAAAAATAGAAGTTTCAATCATAACTTGATTTTTAAAAGGAAGACCTATCATCATTTTATCGCCAAATATAATTTGTCGTGAATTGAAATTCCGTTCATTTTCTGACCTAGGAAATTTCTCAAAGTTTCACTGATGCTCAGTGTTGGATGACAATGCGAGCTATTTGACAATATTAGCTTCCTGACCGCTAATAACAGAACTAATTTTGACGAATCGGATTTATCGTGAATCGATATTTTGAAAACATTCGAACAACTTAAGGACCTTGAATTTTAGCTTTAGCCCTGTATCCGAAGCATATGTTTGTTACAATTGTTTCATTAATGATGTAAACAAACTTCGTCGCCCTTTTATGGCGTACTGAAATATCGACCACATTTCGACAGGAACACAAAAAATTAACAAAACTACGTTGAAAAAATTATTAAAATATAAAATTAAAAAAAAAACTTTTCTAGGAGTAAAAGTATAATTTTTCTTAGAAATGAATTATAAATCATAGGAGACGCTCATGTCGAGTTAAATTTTTATTTACCACCAAAAATTTCCCTTACGTCTTCTTAAATATTGTAGTTTTAAGAATATTTTATATTGTTAAATGGTTCCTGATTTTAAGTTTTCAGAATTATTCAAAGGGTTTTTTGTTTAATAAAAGTTTATTTTCTGCTCTATCTCAGTGTGGTAATACATACAAATTAGTTTAATTTGAGTTTTTACATTATTAGTTTTAATATCGTCCGTGTTGGGTACTGATAGTTGCTTTTACAGGTAACTCTAATGGTTCATCTGAAGTGGACGTCCACAAAGGCGAGAGGTATTGTTTCTTTGACAAAAAATATCGTCCTGCTGGTATCAGATGGCATCCCTATGTTCCTCCCTTTGGATTCAGCAAATGCTCTCTTTGTACATGCGACGTAAGTTTTTATTTCCTTTATCCTGGAAATCTTTTGACTTAGTAATCACATGATATGTGAAAAGGCCACGTCTTATACTTTTAATTTTCAACAGATCAATTAACAGAAAATAAATGGCGGTAAATGCGTTGTGATCATTTTCATATTTTGTGCGAAACTCAGGGTAAACGATTTGTTGAAGATTACTCTACGATAACATATTTTTTGACATTGACTCCAGTACCCCCTCCAATCACTCTAAAATCTGATTCCACAAAATTGAGTCATCTTTCGTTTTGCCTTCCTTTTTTCCGACTAGTAATAGATTTCGACAGGAAAAAAAATGTTTCATTTGATTTTTTTTCACCCATTTTAGCAATATGAGCACCCTAAATCATTCTTTTGAATACATTACAAGTGGATAGTTATTTTATCGATACTATGTTTACGCTACAACATAGTACTCATTCTTAAGTTCAATAGCAATATTAATAGAATGACACTAGAGCGCAGTATATTATTTTATTAAAGTCATTATTATTCCTCAAACGGTAAATTTTGGTATTTAACTGTAGCCTTTTTTAACCTTAAGTTTTCATTAACTTGCTTTCATAGAGTGCTTAAATTTCAGCTGGAGTTCCGTGCCTAATGCCAATAATACAAATTTGTTTCCTAAATGTTGCAATCCATTATCAACAGAAAGTTGAAGTTTTTTTTTTTTTTAATTATTTGTTTAAATCCTGTATATTAAATTTTCGATTATTGGGTGTACTCTCCATACGAGTCGTAGTAAAAATGTTTAAATTGATATGTTTATACATAAACGCCTTGAGGTTATTAATAGCTTGGGGGTTAAGAAAGGGATAAAAATAGTATCAAGCATTATTGATGTGATATTAAATGTGAATGAGCCAAAATGTTTGTGTTAGTCCATTCATTCTGTGAAAATGTGTTCGTACTTTCGACTTAACTTCTTATTTTTACAGCCGAAGACTCTGACTGTAAAGTGCGATCGAATCACGTGCCCAGCGCTAACTTGTGCTGAAAAAGATGCTTATAGGGAGCAAGATAACGATTGTTGCAAAAAATGTCCTAGTGAGTACATAGTGTCAATTGCTTTTTTAATATGCATATTGTTCTCCATATCACAGTCCTAAGTAATTTTTTTTAGAATCCTTGAAAAAATTAAAAAATAAATAAATAATAATAAATTAATATTTAATCTATGAAAAGGCAAAAACTCTGTCGAGAAACACCTAACCAGTCTAACTTAATAGTGATAAGTTAGATTCTGATAGAATTCCTTCTTTTTTTTCGCTGTCTAATTATTAACTAAATGCAGTGATTTGTATACTTTTTTGATTTCAGTTTTGACAAGGGTTCTAAAAATATTTATAAAAAGTATTATTAAAAATATTGAATATTTTATTTTCCAAAGGATTTTTTTTTCTTTTTTACCATTTTATCAGCTAACACATTTTAAAGCTAAAAGTTGGTATAGTTCTAAACATAATTTGAAGATAAGAAGAGACTTTACATATATCTAATGTTAGGTAAATCCCCTTATTTAAATTAAGTGTTTAATAAAAATTGAATCTTCAGCAGTCTTTTATTTTTACATACTCACATAAATATTTTGACAAAATTTAGTTGTTTTTGCAATTTAACAGAGAAAAATATTTTTTTTGAGGTACTTCTGTCGTCGTATAAACTCTTTTATTTTTATTTCAGATTCAGTGTTAACGAAAGCTATTGTTATCATCCCTCCCTCAGTGGGTCACCTGGGAGATCAGAGTGGTGAAAAATCAACTGTTAAAGAGATATTGAATGCTGGAGGTAAAGTTGAATTTTAATAGGTGCCTTCTTGTTTTAAAATAAATTTAATAGTCTAGTTTACTCTGAATATAAAGGTGAATAGAGATCATTATCAATATTACTATTTTTAAAACGTACATAATGAAGAAAGTCTGTTTAGATATTTGGGTGCATTAACTAATTATTTTATCCTCGAAACGCACCTTTCTCGAAATATTTCATGGCAAAGGACATTTCCTTAAACATTTTATACTTGCTGTACCTTGAATTGCATTTATAGGAAACGACTTATATGTAAATGAAAATAATTTACATCATTTTAATGTAATTTTCTGCCAGGGAGAAAAAAGACAACATTTCGTTGTAAGTATAATTATTCAAGCGCTTTTGGATACTCGGTATTTTTTGTACTTCCATCTATAAATAAATTAGCTTCATTTGTTGTTGTTTCATTCTTAAATTTAAGGGCACTGCAAACACACATAGTAATACAAATTTCCAATGATGACACAGAGTTGGAAACTATAATGAACCACTAATTAGATTACAATGGAATGCACTGAGATGTAAACAAGTATATTGTCATCGTCTGAATAGTGTTCTCAATCTATTTCCACTCTTGACTCTCGATGTTCGGAAGTTTCAGACAAACGGGATGCACTCGATCGGTTACCAGTCTTGTTTTTCTTTGTTCAGATGCTTCCGACGAACGGGCTTGGGCAGTGTGCTCTTGCTCGGTTACCACTTTTTGCCCATTGCTCTGTGGTTCTGAAACAGTCTGCAATTTAAATTACAATAATGTGCAATAGTAATCCTAGAAGAAAATTTGTTCTTTGATCAACTTTTCATAGTAGAATATGTTAATTTTGAGAGTGACCTTCCCAGTGCTTCCAATTGTCAGTATGTCAAATTTCATCACTCTGGGTCGGATGGCTTAGAAGTCTATAAAAACTGACCGACACTCATTTTGATATATTTAGATTATACCCTAGCTCTTCTTAATATTTTTATTTAAAAAATAGTCCTTTACAAAAAACGGAGACATGGTAAGACTTTCTAAAACGAAGACATAGGCAGCATTAATCGGCACTCTTTGTAATTTAAAGTATGTTTTCATATATCAATAGATACAATGTTTAAAAAAATTGAATGACAAAGGCAAAATTTTTTTTAAAAAGTATTATCAATCAAAGTGTAAAGCATTATTTCTTTTATAATTTAATGTATATTTTTCAAATCATTGTGAAGTCATTTAAATCTACACATTAGAAGGGCAGAAAAAATATTTATTGAGAAAATGCTCTATTAAAGTGTGACGAATCATCATCGAAGTGAATCCTAGCAAATGTTGCGATAAGTAACTAAAATCAATTTATTTGTTGGATGCGACTAAAAAGCTAAATAGTGTTACTGTAATTAATGTCTTAGATTCTCCGACAGGCTTTGAAAATGAGTTATTTTATTTCGGATCTAAATAATAATTTCAAATCCCCATCGTGTTAAGTAGGTTTATTCATTTTTGACAAAGATTCTAAAAATGCATATTAACGACTGTGTTTGGAGTACACCCTATTATAACTCTTGTTTAGAATGAATTATCTCGAAATACAGTCGAACCACGCTAACTCGAACCTCGATTTTACGATATCTCGGAGAAAAAAAAAATTCCCTTCAAATTTCATATACACTCAATGTTAAAAAAAACTTGATTTCACGAATTTTTTTCTTTCTAATCCCTCGATAACTTGAATTTTTTTTCTCCATAAGTAGTGCAGATTTTTTTTCTAAAATTAAGAACATATTCCAAAAAAAATTCAAGAATGGCTGACAAGGCATGGAATGATGTGTCTTCCTCTATGATAATGAATGGCTTCAAGAAGTCTGGATTCATTAAAGATCACAAAAATAGTCAAACAATAAATATCGTTAATTCTGCTGAAAACTACACCGAAAATGATCGGAACAGATTGACCAGACTCATGAAGCCTGATGACATGGAATTTCATGACTTTGTAAACGTAGATGATGCAGTAACAGTGTGTGGTCAGTGTAATGACAATGATATCGCTCAAACGAAAGCTTCTTGTGAACTATCAGAAGAAGAGGATGAGGAAATCGAAGATTTACCGCCCAATGTTACTAACAAACAAGCACTTTCTGGAGTGGACACTATAAAGAGATTTATTGAGAGGCAGCCGAATATGTCAGAGGAGACATTTAAAGCTATAGTCCACTTAGAAAGTGTTATAGACAAACTTTGAACAATTGAATCTTTTTTTAAATGAAAATGTAAAAAATGTTTTTCGAATAAATATGGAATGGTAAATAAGTTATGAAAATAGAACATTTTTCTTTATTCTACCATCGATAACATGCGAATTTCGATAATTCGAATTTTCGATGTCTCGAATTTTTTCTCCTCTCCCTTCAAGTTCGAGATATCGAGGTTTAACTGTATATTACGTTAGACAAATATTTTATGCATAAATTTTTGCATTCAACTTATCGTCCCGTGTGTTATTTTCGGAGTGCTCTTCTAATAACTCTGAGTAATATATGCTTTTGAGGATGAAATGAAATTACTTTTTGAGATAATTGTGATGATTTATATTTAGGTTGCAAATTCCGAGGCCAAGTTCATAGAAATGGCGACGAATGGCATCCGACTATAGAGCCCTACGGAGCTGAAAAATGTGTTAAATGTCATTGTAAAGTGAGTATTGTTTTTTCTTTCGCTATTTACGAAAACTACAATTACAAACTAGAGAAAATAAAAAAAAATGCATAGAATTGAAATTTAATAATTAATACCAAGTTACTTCTATCCCCTTAATAAATGATTTTCAGTGTAAGCCTCAACATAAATTTCAATATTTTTTCATAATCACTACTCTGGCGGTTATATTAAAAAACTCATGTGAAATACACACGAAAAATCTACTTATAATTTTGTGAATTTATAATGGCAGGCTTCTGATTTTGTTAAACATCACATTAGTAGTCGTAAACCCATAAATTTGGGTCGGCTGTTCAACGACGGTTATAAAATAAAACAGAGCCGTGATGACTCAGGGGATAAAGCGCTCACCTTCCAATGAGGTGAACCGGGTTCGAATCCAACCGATGACTGGTCGATACGATCTACACCGACCACAGTGCTAACGTAAAATATCCTCAGTGGTAGACGAATCATTGGTTCGAGTCCCTTTGGCGTCAGGCTAACCGTGGGAGGTTTTCGTGGTCTTTCTCACCATGTAACGCAAATGCGGGTTAGTTCCATCCAAAAGACCTCCATGAAGGCAAAACAGCGAACTTTTTGCTGTTTTGTCTCCCCCCCCCCCAAATTCTGATTGTGCGAAAATAAAGCCTTGCAATTTTCGAAGAATTTTAGTTTTAAAATTTTGAATTTTAGGCGTCATTGACTTTTTTTTCAGAAAAAGTTTTTTTTTCTTTTTCTTGTGAAGGGTATGTTTTTGACTCCTGCATTCTAAGTGTCTATCTCAAAAAAAAGTCTTGCTCTTTGCAATATATTTGATTTTTTGTGTTTGAATAAATAATTATTAAAGTTTATATATTTTTAAATAAAATATAGAAATAAATCTGAATGAAACGCTGTTTTTCATCATTCATTTTATAATAAGCATTCAGTGCGCAAGAAAAAATATATCTTGTTCTTTATGCGCATTTTGTTTCGTTTTTGAACCAAATCGCAGCATACATATCAAATGGTTCTTGCCAAAAAGCAAATTGACAAATATCTAATCGGTTCTTTTTCTGTCATGACGTAATTCATTAGGAATTCGCCCAACAGAGCAAATGAGGGCGTTGCAATTTTTGAGGAATACTGAGGCATTTTTAAATGATATATTTGATTTTGAAAGGGGTTATTTTCTTGACGTCTATCTGTCGCATTCTAAACAAATTTTTCGCGTGTCTTAAATTAACTTAATAGTTTTTCTTTCACAAATAAAAAAGGAATGAAAAAAAAAGGGCGCCGGCAACGGAAGAAGCATTGTGATTGGCTTTAGATACATTTGGGTCAGCTGTGTGTTTCGGGAAAAGACGTTTGCTGGAAAATGTTAGAGGGAAGAGAAACATTTCTGTTGTTTTTTCAGCTAAGTGCTTTGTGAAGGACGCCTGTGTGTTGATGTCTAAGGGCTGTAATCCACTTGAACGACGTTTTGTAATCGTTATTTATTTAACGTTGAAAATAGCATTTTCACCCTGTTTGTCTAGGTTGTTACTGCTTGACTGGAAACTTTCATGTTTTGTTTAAATGTAACTTTAATTATGGTAGATTAATTATATCGATTTTTCAATTATTAAAATTATAATTTTAGCATTTATTGTGCATTCTTATTCTCATGTTATTTGACAACGCTTTTTCGATTTTATGACTAAGATTAAAACGAGTTTTTGTGCTCAACTTAAAAGGAAAGTTATTAATGAGTGTTGTTTAGTTGAAGGAACAGAGTTTTAGTTTGAAAAAAAAAACATATTAAAATGCAATATAGAGAGAAAGAAAAAATTTAAACTGATGATGATAAGTTATCTCTATTTTATTTTATTTTTCACCCATGTTTCGCAGCTGATCCATATTGTATTTGTGGCTATATCTTAACCTAGTAGTCCTGTAGTTTTAAACACAGCCCAAGCTAATTAAAGTATTGGACGTTTTAATTTAAGATAAAGATTAACTCCATTTTGTGACGGAGTTTTTTTGTGAAATTAACCGACATTTGCGTAAATGGAGAGGAAAACCACTAAACTAAGATAATTTGGGAGGTGTTCTTAATTCTTGGTCAGTTTATTACTTAGTATATTTTTTGCATTAAAGTCAATTTGAGTCTGGGGGATATCAACCGGTTTACGATTGGATCAGACATTGCTGGGAACCGAACCTGGATCACCTCATTCGAAGGATTTTGACTAAACGTAAAGTTTTTAAAAACTACAAAATGTACGATTTCTCGATTTTTTTTTTGTACTGAGCATTTTTTCTAGTAAATTTTCCTATAATTCTAGTAAAGGTCTCTTACATAGTTATCTTACTCGATACATTTATAAACTCTGAATTCTGTCTTTATTCAGTTAAAGGCAATGAAGTTTATTTTATCATTTAAGAATGACCATTATCTAACTAGTTCGGTTTCTCTCCTCAAAAAAAAAAAATACTTTAAAAATATTCCTGGAAACATAAACAATTTTTCACGTTCATAAGGAAAGAACATGAGCTTTTTGCAAGTTCACTCAACTTTACTTAACGTTGTTCATTTAAACACTTTTAAATATTTATTTTTCAAAATATTGAGTAACTTTTAAAGATGTCATTTCATTTGAGAGTATTTTATTTATTAAATATTATTATACTATTTATATATAAGGCATGAACTTTGTCAAACACCTGATGAAATGAATTAAAATAGAAAAGATGTTTAATCTCTTTTTAAATAAATACTTCCAGAGTTAAGACTAATATTACCAGCCAAATATACATTTTTTAAAAAAATATGAAGTGAAGGTTTTCAGTGGAAAAAAAAAAGAAAAAGCTCGAGTTTAAAAACGATAACCTTCATCTTTAGGTTTTAATGAAGTTCCTTCTTGAATTCTCCAAGATTCGGTAGCATTTACCTTGCCCTTTATTAAAGTGGAGCCAACTTCAAAATATTATGTGTACTTCTTTTAGGTCTGCGACAGACTTGATCGATCTGTCTGAAGTCGCGAACCCAACTAATGTGTACCATTCAAAAAATATTGTGTTTTCATATGACTACAGTCTTGGCGGTGCCTTTTAACGGTTTTTTGAGGTAGACGTGCAATAGATCAAGGAAGAGTTGTGTTGGTTTGTTAGGATGGAGAAGGAAAAAAAAGAGCTGAGTTCTCTCTCTTTCAGATATTAATAGTTTGTGAAGCCGTTGTGTTATGATGAAAAGATAATATGTTTTTCGAGTTGTCTGGTGCCAAATGTCTTATTTTTAATTTTCTGAAATTACACAGGTCATGCACCATTTAAGACACAGCAGGAGACACAGGAAGACTGCCTCCATTCATGAGGATGATCTTTATTTTTATTATATAAGGTCTCTCTGATTTTATAAGTGTTAAAAGGACGCCACACTTTTTGACACGCATCATAAAAATACATCACTGAGGGTTGCCATAACTATTTTATCTATATATTTTTAAAAATTTTTTTTCCTCATAATTATTACGTTTCTTATCATAATGATTGAAAATCTAAAATTTTTTTAACCTGGATTTATAGGATGGACGAGCCAAGTGTAAGAGGAAAAAGTGTCCTAAAGAGTCATGCCCTGTCAAGGTGCCAGGTGAAGATGGTTGCTGTGATAGATGCATAGATTCTGGTAAGAAGCTTTTCTATTATGTTCCAGCTTTGTATTATTTGTACTAGCTTAAGAACTAGTACAAATAATACAAATCCTAAGAGATTTACTGTTGTATTTCAGAAGATGTATTTACTGTAATCTATCTTTACAGTATCATAAATTTTTCCTTCAATTAATATAGTATGATTCCTTTATTGATTTTAATCTTTAAATAGGCTGACTGACTGTTTTATTAGACAATTTTGTCAATTAGTCTATCCATAAAAAGTGGAAATACGTTCAATTTACTAATAAAAGACTTGTTAACTTTAGGATCAAAAGGGATCGTGAGCGTTACGAAATTAAATCGTTTCAGACTTTAAAAACACCTGATCACACATCACTGAAACTGTAGTAATTCAACATCTCTACTAACTAACCGATATTTATTTTTCAGTGTCTGAATCGTCTTCAAGATCCGCGGAAGGACCCAGCAAAGGAAAGCGAAGGAGAAAGGAAAGGGAACGAAGGCACAGAAAGGTACGGCAACCCAAAGAGAAACAGAACTGAGCATCCATCATCCAACAGGCATTTGTTGAAAGGGGCAAAAATAAACTATTCGGAAGGAGGATTCAGGTTCCTTTTAAGAAAAAAAAGAGCAAAGGCATCAATTTACTACCATTTTTTATTTCCTTTTACCGAAGAGATACAATTCGGTGGTGCTATGCTTTTATACACAATGGGCTACCCATTTTATAACAGAAAAACCTGGTCAATCCATCTTGAAAAAGAATCGTTATGATTTGTTTTCTTCTAAATATTAGACGAATTAGGAACTGTTTTAAGTGTTTCGCTTCATTATTATATTTTATTCGTGTTTCATCGTGTTCAAGCAACAAATTGTACAGTTGTATATAGTATCTTAAAAAAAAAGGTGATTTCATACGTGGAGGCAGCATGTAAAGTCACAATTGCTCGCTACATATATCTTTATGTCGTTTAGTGTATTTTTTTCTTCCATTTCATATTTATTTCACATTTTGAGAACAATAAATGCTTGTGGTGACAATTAAGAAGCATTGTGAAAGACGTGTACCGGAAGTAAAATTAAACTTAGAAGTGACTTCCATTTTTTGGGTTGTGTAGTTCCTGTTAGAAAGTGGCAAATGGTGAACAAAATTCACGGTACATGTTGATGGAAGCAAATGACCTTCGATGGACATAGTGGACAAAGTTATTGTCTCTGCAAATCTCTTCTGAAATGTGCCAAAGTGTTTCTCTTTGTGAAAGAGTCATACTTGCTGTTTATTTTGTCACGTTGTCTTTATGGACCATTCGTATGTGACGATCGAGTGTTAACTTGGCTATTCTTTATCGAATTTTATTGTGGTGCTAAGCCCGAATTCAAATTTTGATATTATGCTTCGAATTAAAAATGTTTTATAGGATACACTTTATATGCATTTAAAAATTCTGCATATAAGTAAGAAATTAATTAAAGCTTAGCTAATTTTTTATTCAAGTTTTAGCTCTGATATAATTTTGAAAAAATCACATTTGAATATTTAAAATAAAATTAAACTGTCATTCAGTGAATGAATAGAAAGGATATTTTTTGCTATCAAAAATGTTTAACATATTCAAATACTTTTGAAAGTATTTGAAGGTGTATCTGTGATAATACCGGTCTTTGTGAGTAAATTAAATTGAAATAATACGTTGGAATTAAAATTTGTGTTGACTGTTAGTTTAACTTGGATTTTATTTTCAGAATTTTAAAGGAATATAAATACAAATTTTTAAAGGTAATCGAAGTTCGAATTGAAGTCTATTGCTTTTTATGTTTCCTTAATTTGATAGAAATTATTTCAAAGTCTTAGATGTCTCTTGCATAAGTTGTATACTATACCTATACTCTATAGCTTTGAATTAATTGTTATTGCTATGAACCGGATTTGTAACATTGACAATTACAATTGTTCAAATAATACATTATACAAGGAATGTCTCCTATACTTAATACTTCCTAATCACTCTGAATTTCGATATATTTGTACAATCTAGCATAATATTGCTTTATCATGTAAGAAATTTTGCTTTAGTTATGGAAAATTTATGTTCTCAAATATAGTGAATTCATTAGAATTTCTCAAAATGTGAATCATTTTACTATTTGATTAATTATTTGCCGTTCTCAGATTAAATGTAGTTTTCTTTGAAGTTAGTTTGCCATGTGAGTTAAAAAAAGTTTAGAGCTTACAGATGCTCATTCATGTGACTCGGGAGGTAAATTTTTGACCCGTGAAAATGTGAACTTTGATGACCTTTGTAACCAAAGCAAAATGGACAGACACTTATATCTTTATGTTTTATGATAGAATTATTTACATGAAGTGAAAATCAATGTGATTGGGAAGTGATACTTTCTTGTTTGTGAATATTTGAATAAGGGCTTAGCACTTTTTATTTTCAGTTGTAAATTATCTCTATTTCATGTGTTTAAAACAATTTCCAAGACGATCGTAGGATTAACAAAAGGGTATTACACTCAGGTATTATTTATCTTTTACCACCGTCAAAAAATATGTTAAATGAAAAAAGAAAAGTAAGAAATTATTCTCCATGGATGCTAAATTTATGCTAAGTAATCCAGGGGACATTTTGAGTGAGCGAAATTTGTTCGCTTTTGTTGCTTTCCAAAGGTTTCTTCCTTTTTTTATGTTTATTTTGTTCTTTTTTTGAGAAATTTAAATGTGTTTCTAGTCAGGTCTATTTTTGCATTTTATTTTGTGTTAAGTTTATGCTTTTATGGATGGGTGTATGATGAAAGCAAAATTAACTCGGGTTCACAGAGCTTTGCAAAATATATTTTTAAAGCATAATCAAATGCGTTTTGTCATTACATGTTTTTTGATGCAGTTGATAGGGATGCCAAAACTGATACTAATTTTCCATAGTTTTTTTAATTTCTGCTTTACTTTTTTGTTTCAAACTTATGAATGACTCCTATTTTTGCTAACTTTTTTTGTTATTTTTTGACAAATGCACATTTTTTTTAGCTCTCAGATGGAATAAAATTTAGCTTTAAAGCGATCTGTTCAATACACATACGAGTTTTAATTGTCATTTCTTTTTTTATAATTAACTGAAAGCAGCTTTGTTTTTGAAAAAGTTTAACTTGTAGAATATAAATACCGTTTCACCTTGCATTTTAATTTTGCCCCGCAAAACAGCAGAAAATTATCGTTTTTGTGCTACAGAAATAAATGAAAAATAACTTCCTATCTACGGATTAGCCTTGCTACAGATTGGCATCCCTGTACTTACGTTTCTGAAATAATTGTTTATCGTATAAATCTATATTTAGTACGTTAAATTTTATTACAAATTAAACTTGTTTAGTTATGTATTTCAATTATTTCTTATGCAAATTTGTTTTTGTCTATAAATCTTAAATCAGTAACTCAATATTTCTGCCTATAATCATTTTGCATTCATTTTATTTTTTTTTGTTACGATTTGCAGGACAATTTGATTTCTAGGTTTATTTGAATTAAATTTATAATTCAAATAATGTTAAACAGGGTTATATTCTTAAATGCAGGTTGTTCCGTGAGTATTTGCCTGTAATGTATATTTTTAAGTTCCTTGTTAAAAATAATGTAAAAAAATAATTAACATTTTATTAAGCAGAATAAAAGTATTAATCGCAAATTCATACATAAATGAAGAAAAAAAAAGTTAACGAAACATTGTGAAAAGGTTTTAAAAATATGAAAACTTATTTGATTGACTGAAGAAAATGCGAGGAAAGAGAAGAAAGAAACACTCTCAGGTTTTGTCAAGCAATTAAACTGGTTTTCATGGATTAAATTCTGTCTTCCTCAATAGTAGTTCGTCAGATATTAATAACTTTTTTGTTTTTATAGTCGCTTCGATAATTTTTTGCAACATCTAATATGTATACTCTTTATAACTTCATTTCTTAACAAAAATTTTCAAATATATATATATATTAGAGCTGTGATTACGGAACACCCTGCATTATCTCAACAAATTTAATATTCGATAAATACTATAAAAGTTTCAGTATCAGGCGAGCAACAGAACAAAGAATTAAATCAAATACCTAAAAAGTCTGCTGAAATAGGTATAATTTATGTTAGCGGCCAATGTTTTTTTCTCCAAAAACATTGGAATAATTATTTTTAAAAAATTCTCCTTTTTCAAATTTTTGTAAGAAGTATTATGCGTATACAAATGAAGCTCGGTTGAAAAATCATCAAAATTTATGCGTCTGGTTACAAAAATCAGTGAAATTCTATAAAATTTCTGGTAAAATTAAGGAATTTTTTTTATTTGATTTACCACCTCCGAAATAGTAAATTATTCATTCGGTCAGTATTTGGATGTGAGAGATGTAGGTACAAAAATCCTTTATTTAATTTCTGTATATTTACTTAAAAATTAGTTATTGTATTTTAAAACAAAGATAATTTTTAAAATTTAAAATTCGTAAGTTTCGTGATTAGTCTAGTTATGATCTCTTAGTTAAATAAATTGTCCTGTTAAAATGTACTGAATTCATATTTTTTTATTGTTTCAGCAGTTAATGTGATCAATCTCATTTTTATTATAAATTTTATGTCATAAAAATATACATCATAAAAATTACTACTTCGTTGATATTTGCATCAGGAAAATCATTTTTTTAACAATTAATTATGCAATTTTATCCCATGCCAATGCCATAGCTACTGTTTATATTTCTTTCTTGTATTTATTTATTTTGTTGTCATGCGTATGATAGTGTGCCTCTTTAACGGTTTTTTTAGTTTGTAAAAATATATATTTTGATGAATGTTAAAAAAACAACAACAATCTAATAGTGGTTCTTACATTTTAAAAGCCTATATCTACTCTTTTTAAAATAAGATAATTTTTAAATTGTAGCTCCATTTTTATGTTTTGGAAACACTTCGAGAATACCTTTTATTCTGAATCTCCTGTATTTAAGTTCGCTGTAGATAGTTTTGAATAAAGGCTTTTATGAAAAATCTGTAAATATAATTATTATCTTTTTTATTGCATTTTTCTTGTGATGTGTTTTTAGGCAATATTTTGTGGCGAATTTTGAAGGATTTGATGTTTTACCATGAAATCATCTTTATCTAGTGAAATGATTTTAAAGCTTTAGCTTAATGAATTAAGTTATTAATTGAAAATTACATTGCATTGCCTAAATTGTGAGAGTCTTGGTTAAAATTTAAAAGCTCTTAACTGCAAAGTGATGAACTCAGATTCACTTTTAGAGGCGATGGTTTCATATTTATAATCCAAATTTTGCGAAGTACTAAACTTGGTGAAGAGAGTGACCAAATGATATAAATTTGAGATTATTACATGATTAAAAACTTAGCTTCAAAAATATATAAAATGGAGAAAAGACATGAACATCTTTTTATTCACTTGGCTACTATGGTTTTTCTAGTTTTATTTCTCACCTTTATTTTTCCATTTTTCGTTGGCAATTTTACTCTTTCTATTTCAAATCACTTTTGTTTAGTCTCATTCACGTCTCGCAAGTCTTGAGAATGGGCGCCAATTTTTGAGCGCTTGAAACAAGTCGACTGCTTTTTCCATTTTGTATAATTTTGAAGGATGAAGTTTTTAATCGAGTAATATTAGTTCAGTTTCTTGTGATTATTTATTTAACATTTGATTTTAGTTAAATACGTATTAAGAAATATATTACTTCATGGTTTTTTACATTTAATAACTTTTTATATTTTTAAACTCATTTGAAGCAAACGGGTTTTAGTTAGGAAATAGTAAGAAAGTGAAAAAAGCTTCTTTATCCTCGTTTTTATTAGCTACAGAGAAAATGATAGTGTTTTTAACGACTTGTAACTTAGTTTTCACGACTTGTAACTTAATTTTAGACTAGCCAGCAAGTCTTAAAAAACAGTGACAAAACTACTCTGAAAGGTGACATTTCAAGTAAAAAAAATAGCAAAGCTTCAGTGTAATAGTAAATAATTATGTTCAAGTGATAAGAGAACAACTTTTTCTTTTTCATTTAATGAAAGACCGCTGTACAACAAAAATTGCTTTTACAACTTTACACACTAAGATCGAACAAACACATACGTAAAATATATACGTAATATATAAACAATCTTATTTATTTGCAGTTTTCTAATTTCTTTACCCTTTCTAAGTGAGAAAATGTTCTACACTGTTAAACCATTTTTTTCTTCTTTGCTTCTCTCGACATGAATTTAGGAAGAAAAAAAAGAAACATGATAAACGAATATCATCATAAGTAGATCATTAAACAATAGTATCTCAGATACTACGAACGGATCTGTTCATTTGGATTTTCAGTTTTATTATCACAATACGAAAACGTTCTGTTTTCTTATAAAAAGTCAGTTATTGCCAATTTTTTCTGCTTACAGTTCTCATTGTCGTCGTATTCGGATTTTGAATTCGGGTAAAAATGCAACCTCTCGTCTCCTTGGAAGGCGTCAAAACCGTAGGTTTCATTATTTGATGCGAGCCCACCATTCGTTTTTCTCTTTAAAAGAAAGTGATCTATCCCTTCCCTCTCTGCTGAAGTTTCACGGTTCAAGTTCTGAATCCTGTTGAGGTTGTCTTCGCACTTGTTTCGGTATTTGAAAAAATCGTCGAAGTTAGAATCGCATTTCAAGTCTCCTTGTTGTAATGCTGCTCTTTTCTCTTCAAAATCTTTTATTTGCTTAGTTGCTAAATCCAGACACGCAGCTTGGTGGTCAATTTGTTCCTGGTGATCTGGTTTATCACTCTTTTTTCTGTTCCCACTGCTCTTTCTTCGGACTTGCGGGTTGGATTTATCTCCTCTACTTTTGCTTTCCCTGCGTGGTAAATGACTTTTTCTAGGAGAACGTCGCAAAGGATGACTTTCGATGCGACTTTCTGACTTCGGCAAGTTGCCATTTTCTTCTTCTCTTTCACTATTTGCAGAGAAGGGCACTGCATTAGCCCATAGCCCTTCGTTCTTTATATCTTTCTTCTTATTGTAGCTATCTCGGCGACATATTCTACTTCGTAAGTTATCATTGCGGTTGTGAGATGTTTTGTCCCCCTTATCGTTATTTTTTGCCTCTGCGAGAAATTGAGTGTCATAGACTTTAGGCTCGACAATTTTTTTAGAACTGTCCCGGCGTTCCACATTATGAAAGCTGTTTTTTCTGTCACCTTGATAGTTCGAATTTCGTTCATCACCCCATTGTCGTTTGGTTGACTCCAGTTCGCGATTGCTTGAAGTTTCCTTTTTATTATTTTGACTCTCTCTTCGAGGAAGCTTTGTAACGAGGTTTTTTGGTTGCTGTAGAGATTCGTTATTTTGTTTTTTTGCATTTGATTGATCTAGTTTCCACCTTTTAGGATCATTAACGTTTCGTATTGGCTTGCGTCCTTGACTACCTTGGCGACTAAAACCACGGGGGTTTTCTAAATTTTGATCGAGTTTACTGAACTTTAAGTCATATTTTATGTCTTTCTTTAGTGGAACATTTTTCAGTTCTATTTCAACTTTTTCTTCGTTGACGTTTCCTATATTTTCCGATTTGTTATCCGCTAAATTAAAAGGAGATTGAAATAGACTTTCATTATTAGCTCTGCCATCACTACGACTGCGACTTTCTCTACGTTTAATTCGATTTCTATCACTGCCTCTTGCGCTACTGTCTTTACGAGTGAGTTCTTGATTTTTTAGCTGGGCCCTTTTTTCGTAATTCTTTTGATTAACCCTGTTATCAATTTTGCGCACCTGCCCGTATTCGGGTTCCATGTTTTGGAAATGAAACAAATCACTAGTTGGTATATTGGAATCATCTTTGTTTATAGCAGGTAGTTTAGGGGTATTCTTCTCCAAATACTGGTCACACTGAGCAAAAATACTTTCTTTGGTACCGAATAAATTCTCATAATGACTATCATTGAACCGTGAATCGAATTTGATTTGGGGATGTGTATTATCTTCGATTTGCAGGATCTTGACTGATTCGTTTCTGTTATCCCTTTCACTATAAGGAGGAAGGTGTTTTACATGTGCATGAGTATTGGCAGGTTCCTTATTTTGTTCTTTAATTTGGCAATCGTAAGTAAAAGGTTTTTCAGACAATTTATCATTGGGATTTAAGTTTCCATTTAAAGTATCCTTACCGTCGTATAGCACATTCCTTCCATAAAAATTTACTTGCACACCACAATCATCGCGTACAATTTTTCCATAGGCATTCTCTAAAAGTACGCCGCTTTCTTTCGCAAAAATATTTAAATTATAATCGGGGTGGCTATATTCAGGGCTGTTGATATCCGACAGTTCTTCACTGATAGTTCCAACTTGAGTTTTAGACACATCAGTAGGTTGTCTAGGTTCGTATATCATATTATCCTTCCAATCAAGCATGCCGCCATCGCTTTGTTGTTGGTTTTGCATTTGGTTTCGTTCGTTGCGATTGCTATTTTCGTCAAGCTTTTTCCAAGCAGTAATCCACGGTATCTTCCTCATTCGCGGATGAAGTACACCGGGGTAGTTTCGGGTAGGTGTTGCAGCAGCTGATGTCGATGAATGATTCGACGGTTTGCGAATGTTCCAAAAAGGATCTGACGGTTTTCTGCAAAGGAAACCAGACCAGATTGGATTCGTGGACTGAGCGCCGCTACCGAATCCACTGTCTCCGTTAACATTTGTTTCAGAGCGTGATGGTGTCATTGCCATTTGATCCAAGTCCCTTTCGACATTTAGCCGATAGAGAGACATTGTAGATTCACTTTTTACAGGCAGTGCAAATGTTGTTTCATTGTCACTACCAACACTGGCCTTTTTGTGGATAAGATCTAAATCATTCATCGAGTAAGAAGTGGTTTTTTGATGACAGGTGATGTTAGCAGTCTTAGAATGTAATTTCTTTGGAGGTGTGAGTTCGCAATCAGTCGTGATCAAAAGATCACTTTGTTCTTTGTTTTTCCATTCTGGTGGAGGTAAGATAAAGACCTCGGGATCTTTATGATCGTCCTCAGTATCGTTTGTTCCAGAGTACGAAAATATGTTTTGAAGGGGCTCTTGAAACAGTTTGGACAGTTCTTTTTTTCGAATATCGTCTGTAAAAGAAAAAAAAAGTATTAATTTCACTATTATAATATAACTAGTTGTAGCACTTAATATTATATTGGAGGATTTTTGTTATTAATCATAATTTATCTTTACTTGCTTCTCTATTCATGTGAATGACTTATTTTACTTTTGAAATTTGATACATTTTATGAAGTAAAACATAGTATCTATGTTGAAATGAATATGTTTTTGAAATGGCAATTTTGCCAGTGCGGATGCAACGCGTCAAGATATTATTTATTAGCATATAAGCTGTTACCAAATAACGTTTATTAGATCATTCAAACTGAATCTTTTATACTAACCACGTGAGCCGAGGTGGCTCAGGGGATAGAGCTTTCGTCTTTTAATGAAGTAAACCGGGTTCGAATCCCAGCGATGGCTGATCGATACGAATTCTCCACCCGGCTTGCAAAGATCACAAAGCTGACGTAAAATATCCTTAGTGGTAGACGGACCATGGGTTATAGTCCCTTCGCCATCAGGCTAACCACAAGAGGTTTTCGTGGTTTTCCTCTCCATCTAATCCAAATGCAGGTTATTTCCATGGACAAAAGTCCATCACGAAGGCTAATTTTTCCCAATACTTGATCCAGAAGTTTCCTTGTCTTCTGGATTGCGTTCAAAACTCTTAAGGTAATGAGTTAAACATTAGTAGTCGTAAACCAAAAATTTTGTTGATTGTTCAACGACGGTTATAAAAAAAAACTAACCACGTATACATATTTTATTGAAAGTCATTAACAAAATATTGTTACCACTACACTTATATTTATTGACTGCGTTTTGCTAAAGACAGAGGATTGGGCATTAAAAATGCATCATGATGAAATGAACTTATTAGTCATACTTATCAGAAATATTTATAAATGACACCAGGAGGTAAAAAAAATTAGTAATAAGTAGAAGGGTATTAGCAGCAAATATAGATAGTAAAATAAATAGGTTCAGGTTCATTCATCACAGTCTTTCTAAAAGAATTTTACAGCAAAGCAACGTTGAAATATAACAGATAGGTCTAGACTCAATAGATAGGGTGTTAGCAACAAATGTAGATAGTAAAATAAACAGGTTCACTCATCTCCGTCTTTCGAAAAGAATTTTACAGCTAAGTTGAAATGAAACACATAAGTCTAGGTTCATTAGATATGGAATATTTTGATTTAAGATCTAAAAGAAGAGTATTATAAAAATTAATATAAAATATATTAAGCAGAGGATATTCTTCTACAAGATAACTGTGAAAATATATCATTCAACGCATTGCGAATGATGTTTAGTTCAAAAACAATCATAATTTTTGGAAAACAATTTTTCTAAAAGAAAATAAATAAATATTTCATAAAATAGAGTTTTCATGCAATAAATTTCGATGTAAAGCTAACATCAATACAAATGGCGTATTTCTAATAAAATTTATGTAACAAAATAACTTACAAAAAAATTTATTATATATATAAAAAATAGAGACATAATTAAATCTTTCTTTTTATAATTAAGAATATTATTATCTATGTATCTCCTGAAATCTAGTTTAGGTGAATTAATAGTTTTTGAGATGTCGAAGGGACAAGTTTGAAAAAGCCGATCAGCTTTTGTAGGGGTCAGGAAACTGGCCTTGCATCAGAAAGGTTCTGTGTTTGAATCCCGGGGAAGGCATGGATGTTCATTCCTTCTCTGTACCAACTGTCCTTACTGTGGGAGCAACGTTGGCCCACCTAATAGGGTGCTCTTGAAAGAGTGGCCAACAAACTGCCCTTCAGATGCTTGTATGACGAAAGGTGGGCATTGGATGAAAAAAAAAGTTAGAAAAATTTAATTTCGTGGAAAACGCAAAAATATCTTTGAAGAGCCAAATAGATGATTATAATCTTTGACACAACTTAGTATTAATTTTTTTTCCTGTAACCACACCATAAGCGTGGATTATAAATGTTAACCTATTTTTTTACACGCTACAATTTTACAATTAAAAAAAAAAAAAAGATGTGTTCGACTTAAATAAAAACTACCTTTGAAAGAGACATTTCTAGAAAATCCTCCTCTGAAACTGTTATTGCTGGGTGGAGTGGCTGAGAGGGCAGGTTTCATTTTCACTTCACCTCCACACGGTCTCGTGTCATGAAATTCAAAATCATCATTGGCTACAGTGGTGAACGAGCCTCCGTACAATTCTTCACTGATGCGCAAATCTTCGCTGAGGGCACTATCATCCGCAGACTTGCAACTGAAAGTGCTGAAAAGAATATGATATAAGTAAATAAACTACAATACTACTGTTACAGTATTTTTTTATTTATTAGAATTGGCGTTGTTTTGGTATCGAATCCTAGAACTATCGGCATAAATCTTAATTTTATAAGCAAAGAATTTAATTGAATTACCGGGTTCAGAAAGGACCCTAGACTTGCTAACTACTTTCCCAGAAAGATAAAAAGAAAACAATTTTTTGCTTTACCTACCAGTACGAAAAATTCGGAAAAAAATGTTTATGGCCTTGGCCTGATGTACGAAAATATATCCGCAACATCCTTTGGTGCTACAAAGTGTGGGACGACTTATCCGTGACTTTACGTGTCCATGACTACTAATCATTTTTATTAAAATCTGTTACTTTGTTATTCAAAAGAAGAAGAAAAACTTCAAGTTAGAACTGATTGAGTATTGGTATACTATTAAGCTTAGATATAAGTATCATCCCTTCCCAAGGGAAAAAGATATGATAAATCTTTACTTTTTTTAATAATCTGTGCAAATATGGTTTTTTAGGTTCTTTTCTTATAAGTAAACATCTTTCTAAAAATAAATAACGAAAAAGNTTGAAATTCATAGAACAAACAACTACCAATCTTTTATTTCGAAATCCATTGGGGTTTCCCCGCACATTTGTCAGTCGTAACCTTTTACAAAAGAAATAACGCAAAATTCTACAAAAACTAATTCACCATTTTATTATTCCTTTTTTTTTATCCATCGTCCAAAAACCAAAACAAAAAAATGATCATATCTATAATATCAAGCTTTTAGCTCGCAACATCAGAAAATGCGTGTTATTACATCACGTGACCCTGACAATCCCTTCCCAAGGGAAAAAGATATGATAAATCTTTACTTTTTTTAATATCTGTGCAAATATGGTTTTTTAGGTTCTTTTCTTATAAGTAAACATCTTTCTAAAAATAAATAACGAAAAAGAAATGAGGGCAACTATATCAAGCTGTATATTCCACGATTTGCTAAGTTATGAGTAGGAAGCACACCCACAGCACAAAGACCGCAAATGATATAGTTTTACACATAGAAATGTATTCAAAAATGAAATTTTTCTAAAGAAAGTTATGTTTTCAAATTTTTTTTAAAAACAGTATAATTTTAAACGAAATGTTAATAAATAAAAAAGAGTTGAATTATTTTTAAAATTTGTAATATAATCCAATGCGTTCGCGGAAAACTGTAGACATTTTGTTTAGAAAAAACCAGATCTCTTTCGTTACTTCGAATAATTAACTTAATTTCCTATACATCATCAAATTTTTACATAGATGAAAAAAATTACGTATTCTTATTTTTAATTTTTTTTTCTATTTAAAGAAAGTCTTTAGTAGGGAAATATGTTCTGCAAATAGTTTGTCGATGTTTCTAAACATCTTATACTTGATTTTTTCAAATTCACAAAAAATGACACTTTACAAGTTCATGGACAAAGAAAGCTCTTCTATGTTCACCTTCGCCATAGACATTGATAGACAGGGTGTGATGATCAATCCACTGATCAAAAATTAACGACGATTCGAAATATCAACTAAGAAAAAGTGAAAAGTTTACTGAGTTCCACAGAATTAAAAAAAAAAAAAAGAAAAAAGAAGGAAACTAGCTAGCCATAAGATCACGCTACTGACCAAAAAAAATAATAAAACAATGTTGCCTGATAATTCCAACTGAAATAATCGAGCCGCGTTTTTTAATTTTGTTTAAAACTGCACCATGTTGTTGCTGCAAACGGTGGTTATTTTGAAAACCGAGTTTTACATTCTTGTTATTTAACAGCGCCATCTTTTGACAAATTTTGAAATTAATTCTAAAACCTGAGTTTATACTGTTACGTTTCCTAATCAGAACGCTAAAAAAAACGCATGTTTCTATCTCTTTTTACATGTTAACTGATTTATCAAAGCGTTAGTTATTTTCAGAAATTTGGTAAAAAGCATGCTATGTCATTTACTATGTAAACAGAATAGTATACATAGTAAACAGCAATTCACTAAATTTGAGAGTAAGACTGTATTTTCATGTCACGTTAGGTCAAGTAAGTAAACAAATGAGAAAGCTCACCTAAAGTCGTCTGATAGGGTGGCATAAAAGTTTTCTTCGTCTTCCTCTCGCCACATCTCCAGCGAAGTGAGATCTGCGCATGACAGTTTGCTCAGAGGTTCGTTCCCCATGTAGCCAGCACTCAAACATGATTTGGCGAGAACAGAATCACCGTTATGAAGACCGGGTAGAGTGTATTTGCCACTATTTTTCCTAGTGCGACGTTTCTTGCCAGGGGTGCGCCTGTAGTTGGTGATGATGCCAATGGGAGTGACAGATCCGAATGTCCCTCTCTTTCGAAAGTGATCCTTATCGAAATACATCTGGAAAGGACCATCGTCTCCTGAAAAAACAAACACACCTTCAATTTTAAAATTCTCAATTGATTATGTTCAATGTAGTTATCTTGAAAATAAATTAATTCACCGTTAACGTCCTATCAATCATAAAGATAACAATGTGAGGGGGATGTGAAACAATGTCAAATTGTCTCGGAAGCGAAGGCGGTATTCCTACCAGTTCGTCTAGGTTCTAGGAAGTAAACCTGGTCGGTGCGCATTGCTGACCGAATTGCCACAATCATGTCGTTGGTCAGTCTACTGTAACTGCACACGCCCGTGATCACTGAAGTGGTTCCAATGTACTTCATAGGCTCGGACAATTATACCATAGGTCCTGCTTAAAGCTGAATCGGTTAAATGTATATGGAAAATATTGATTTATAACTCCCCCAAATCTTTATTTAGTCAAGATTTATAAATATGGGTCCTAATGAATGCCTGAGCTATATTTCTACTAGGGTACTTAAAAAATCTAACGAAGGAATGAAAATATTGAAGCAAACAGTTTAAGAGTTTAATGGAAGAAGCAGGTAAGTGATATTTTTTAAAATAATTGAGATTCCCCGGGGAAAGTTTTTATTTTAATCCTATTTAATTACATAACATTATTTCATGTAGCTATATTTTTTTAGTTCAAAATATACTCAGTTGATGAAGTAGGTAAGATGCACTATTTAAGTATTTTTCGGGTATAAGAACAAGGTAAGTGCGCTTGGCAATAAATAGTCAACAAAATCACTAGCTTGGCATCGAACGCTAAAACGCAAGAGAAAATTTAAAACTTGAAACGGCAGTTTCCATACAGGAAATGCTGATTCTTTTACAATTCAATAGAAAAAAAAATAGCTCTGAAATGGCTTCTGAACACAGAATTTCATTGTTTCTGGTCCGCATTTACTTTGTGCTCCAGATGCACAGCGCGTTTAATGAATTGCTTTTTTTTTATTTTGCATAAAGTCGCGTAGAAAATAAATATTATTTAGTGCTTATACAACTTTTTCAGTTTATTATTATTAGCATTATTGAATACTATTTCATTCAGTATTATTATTTTAATACTGATACTTCGTACGGGTTGAAAAAAAAACTAACTAATCAATGAATCTGTAAAAATCAACAATGTAAAATCATGCGCAAAACGGAAAGAGTTATACTGCCACACTTAAGTTAAACAAATTCCAATTTTTTTTTATTTAGTATTATTTGTTGCTGTTCCTGATGGTTTTACATTATTAGATTAAGCAAAACAATCCTTTTAGAGGTTCATTTTATCAAAATAGAGATTAGCGGTATTCAGTACTATTTGGCATAATTTTATTGCTCGAGGCCAACATCTGATAGTCCAAAATTAGCATAATTAACAATTTTCTCCGCTCTCATTCGACGGGCTGTGAAAATCTCGTTCAAAAGTAGCTATAGTATGTAGTTATTGTGGTACCTTATATTAGTATAGATAGTATATCATGGGTTAGAATCCCCTAGCCGTCATTGTAACCATGGGAGGTTTTCCTCTGCAATTTTCCTATGCTAAGTAACGCAATTGCAGGTTAGTACCATCAGGAAATTTTCCCAATACTTGATCCAGGCGTTCCCTTGTTATCTGTATTGGCTTTAAAATTACAAGGCTCCGGAATTGAACATTGGTAGCCGTAAACTCAACATTAGGTTGGCTGTTTAATAACGGTTATAAAAATAAAATAAAAAGAATTAAAAAAAAAGTCGGCAGAGTTTAGCAGAGATAAATTAAGTCTACATTTGAAAGCATCACACAGATAGATGTTTCAATTTTATTTTGCACCCTGCCTATAAAGACTGCATTGCTTATACGAATTATACTTTGGCTGAAACATGTCAGAGCTCCATTCGCATCGGACTGACCATGAGAGTTTTTCACCTACATTTTTCGCAAAGGCTGATTACTTTCGCTTAAAAAAATTCTTCTCAATGGTGAATTTGACCTGTTTCTTTAAACAGGTGTTCTCTAGTCTTTAAGATTCAAGGCTAAGAAGTTGAAGATGAAAAAATTTACATATCCATTGAGTGGACTGGTTGTTCAGAGTAACCTCAAGTATGAAAAAGAGTGAGAGTAGTCTAACTTATCACAATCGCGTAGAAAAAAAAATACTCAAAACAGTTTTATAAAAATTTAAAAAAAATAATAATTTTTGCATGAAACTGCTAATTTTTAATTAAAAAAAAATAAATAAAATGTGTTGAACTTGACTCCATTTTTTCCGAAATGAACTTGCTTAAATATATGAATTTTAACCTAAATATGCGTCTAGTTATTTGAGCTTTTCAAACAAAATATATTCATTACATAACATTAAAATTCTCCAATAAATAAATAAGCAGAGGCTATTTGAGAAAAAAAAGACTGCTTTATAAAAGAGTTAGCGTCAAATAAATATCCTCTCCCCCCCAACCCCNCCCCCCAAAAAAAAAATGAGTTATATCTTCACATAAATACCAAAAACATAAAGATTGTGCGTAGTTACAAAAACGAGAAAAAGTATAAACTTTAAAAATCACTTACTCAAATTCACTGATATGTAACTTCAAAAACTCAGTTTTAATGTTTTGCAAACTATGTATGGTGCTGCCATCTTCATTATGTACAGAAACATTATAAAAGTGAATCATTGTAATTTAAAGGCAATCAATTGGTAGAGTACTACTGAGTCTATATAACATTTAACTTAACATTAGAATAAACTTAATATCACCAAATAGCTCATTAATTTCTTTAAGTATACTTGTATTATTGTTATTAAATATTTTAAAAGAAATCTACAATTACGTATGGTGCTGCCATCTTTCATTTAATTTTGAAAAACCACTGTTAGGGACATTTCATCTCAGAAAAAGTACAAGCAAATTTTCAATAGTAAAAAGCAAAAAATTTACTAAAAAACTTAATATCACCTTAATAAAATTAAGTTATATTACATAATTTGAAAAAGTTTGGATTGTAAGGCATAAAAGTTTTTATATCATTTAAAAAAAATTTTTAACTTTTAATGGAAAAATAGAAAATTTAAACATATTAGGTAGAATAGTTTTAGAGAAATCGATCTTTAAATATCTGATTTTTTGCAAATTTAATTTCTCAGAAATTCCTAGAGAGATTTTATTTAAATTTTGTATTCTGCCATATAAAATTACTTTCTCTTCAATGATGTAAAATTTTGCAAACCTTCCACTTCATAACTATTACTTAGTAAAAAATAATACATAATTACTAAATATTCATTTTTACATATTTAGCTACCCCCTATATTTTCTGAGTCAATATTTTCTAAATATGTCGAAAAAAAGGTATGTTTATTCAGAGAAAACACATTTTTGTGCCATTTTTTCGTAATTAAAATTATCGCTTGCATTAACTAATTAGCATATTTAAGGTTAACAATTCAAACCAATAAGATTGAGTCCTAGTGCAAAAATCCGATTATCAGATCAAAAATCTGTGTTTCGATTTTTTTTTTTTTCTTTTTTTTTTTTTTTTTTTTTTTTNTTTTTTTTTTTTTTTTTTTTTTTTTTTTTTTTTTTTCTTTTTTTTTTTTGTGCATTGTATATTTACATAATGAATCTTTTCACTTGCTACCTGAAATTTTTTTTTGTCAATTTAAATAATATTTTAAGAAAGTAAATCAGTTTTGAAATGTATAAACAAGAAACGTGTCCAAGTAAAATTTATTATAGATTTATAAGGAAAAGTATTGTAATAAAGTTTCTAAGAAAACGATGTCTCGTGTTAAAAATGTTTTCTTTATTAAATGCATTTAAAATTAGTAATATTGAATCACAATTTTCTTAAAATAGTTTTATAGAAAATACCTAACTTTATATGTTAATAGAATAAATAATGATATATATAATTAAACTGATGTGTTTTGTGAAAAAATAATTATTTCTTCTAATATTTTAAAGAAGAGTTTGATTTTTTTTAAAATTAATTGAAATGATTGATATCTTTAGATCTGAAATAACTATATTTTACATTAGATTTGATGACAATTCAGAATAAAATTTCCTGAAAAATTATTTAATTAAGGTAATGAAGTTAAATAGCTATATAAACTAAAGTATTAGTTTAATATTTAATTTACAGATGGCAGCACTAAGAAAAAGAGAGGAGTGATTTTTATAAATGTTGGAAAGGGAGATGAATGTTTTGAAAAATACCACACATAACATTTTCGGTTTCTTATATTTACAAGATAATCAAATTAAAATATAGGATTATTCGATTCAAAATGATTATGAAAATGCTATAGAAACTTAACTTCAATTATGTATTAATTATCTGAATTACGTATAACATCCGAAGAAAATATATTTTAAACCGAATTCTCTCATTCTTTCTCTCTAATTAATATTATAACTGTGGGTCATTTTTGTATAGTATTTCTCACGAGCACTAATGCCCCTTTTTAGAAATCAAATGTACATACATTTTTGTTTCTATATTTAATTTTTTTTCTGTTTTATTCTCTTTTATTTGCGTAAAAAAAAACTTATTTTATCCTGTATTTATCCTGTAAACATATTTTAAACTATTCCTAGTTTATTTTTCCTCAAACTAGATACAATTTTGGAATCAAATTTAAATTTGACAGGAAATAAAAGTTTGGTAAGCCTCATTGTTTAGACTTCTATTCCCCTTTCACACTAACAAGGTACTACATTTTCAAATTCCATTGTAAAATAAAGATCCTGGTTAATACGTATTTACTCGTTTGCGATTTCTTGTCCCTCAGCAGGCTGATCGTTAAGACACGGTTCCCAGTAGAACACCGAACTCAAGCCAAGCTTTGCTCAAGCATCACTGGCTGCGGTCAGTAAGCGGGTGGGTGACCACTTCAATCAGCCTGCGTCGGGACAGAAGATGCACGGTATCGATCTTCGTTAAGCTGTTCAATCGTAAAGTGCTGAACTTCGAACGTAAGGTTTCCAAAGCAGGGGCGTCATCCCCTTTGCAGAGGATCGAAATTGCGATGGCATGGCCTCGGATCATCCTCAGTGATGTTTCCCAGACCGTCGCCAATATCCCATTGTGCAGCTCTAGGGCGATGTAAATAAAAAAAAAAGTACCATATACTTTTTGTTAATAGATATATAGGTCTGACAATTTATTTAAGGATTTTTACGTGCAGACTCACAATTTTTGACTATGTCTACTTATTAATTTTATATTTTAAAACAATTAAGAAGTATTTCTTAAAATTGTTTTTCAACCAGAATAAAAAAAAAGTATCAAAATCAAGTTGGTAGGATAAATAGTGAGGAGTTATAAAATTCATTAAGGTTTTGAGAATAAAAAAAGAAGCTTATGACTTATTCCTATTTACAACATTAGTGGTATATAGGCAAGGGAGGCTTAGAATCTTACGTACATATATTTTTTAATTCAACAAAATCAAGATGAAGTTATAAGAGTTTTATGAGTTAAAATAAACATAGAGCTTTCGTAATTATTAAACTATTACTTCGTTTAGCATTGATATGATTTTATTTAATTAAGTGCAAAATAACGAGCAGAAAACAATTCCTCTCTAGTCTAGAAAACAATATTAGTTAATATAATATTTATAAGTCAGAAACTGTACCTTTATACTTAATGACATAATTTCTATAAGTTTTTCTGCTTTTGATGTAGGGAACTGTACTTTATTTCTCTAGTTTGTAATTCCATACGCGTAAAAAAGTATAGCTCAAAATAAAAACTGTTCTCACATAAGACCCTAATAATTTCTAAACTATCAGTCCCATCGACTTGAATTTGACATAACCTTGCTTGTGTGACCTCAAATATTAAATTTTTTCCCCTTTTAACTCCTTCCATTCTTAATAAATTCAGGATAGTGTGTAAATTGTTCTTCGAAAGAGGGGACAAGCTTTTAAATATTAATATTGGGCTCAATCTAATACTTTTAATAATGAAGCCTCGATGGACAGGGGATAGAGCGTTGGTCTCTCGATGACTTGGGTTCGAATCCCATTAGTGGCAGGTTGATACGAATTGTGATCCCGGCTCTCACCGATCACAGTGCTGACGTAAACTATCATCGGTGCTAGACGGATTATGGGTTAGAATCCCCAAGAGGTCATTCTAACAGTGTGAAGTTTTAATGGTTTTCTTCTCCATGCAACGCAAATGCAGATTAGTTGCATCAAAAAGTTAGTTTGTCCCAATACTTGATCCAGGAGTTTCCCCGTCTTCTGGGATGAGTTCATAATTACAAGCCTACGGAATTGAACAGTGATAGTCGTGAACTCAGAATTAGATCAGCTGTTTAACGCCTGTTATAAAACAAAATAAAATATGTCTGTTTAATGAGACTTGCTTTCAAACTGCTTACACCTTTCGTACTAAAATAATACAAAAAAAAAAGAAAAAAAAAAGCTTGTGACGTATATTGAAGAATATTTTTCGCAAGTCCCCCTTCATAAACAAATCCTATATTATGATTCATGACTTTCAATCCTAAAAAAAACATCTGTTTGTGGCGGCTCGTTTCACAGTAGACATAAATTAAATCTATGAGCATAGAGAAAGGAGGTCATTACGTGCAATTGCCAACGAATTACCCTCTCCTGAGAATATGATAAGGACGACGAATGGTATAATAACATCTCAGATGTATTTTGACACTAAAGAGGCTCATGAGATGTGAAATAGGTCTCAACAAAACACGCAATTCCCATTTTTTTTTAAGTTTAAAAGTTATTAACGAATGTTGTAAAATTCCGATTCTTCGCCTATAAAAATGTCAAAGCTTGTGGCAGGATAAATAAAAAAATTTAGAGGAAGATATTTTGAATTTTTTTTTTTATATAAGAATTGATTTCTTCTTCTATCAGTAAACTGTTATAAATTTAATTGTGTAGGCTTGTTTTACTTTTATTTCAAAGATGAGGTAAATTCTAAATTTTTACTGTCTAAAAATATGTGCTAATCTAAAATTAGATTTCAAATTCTAAGTTAGTAGCAAACGGTTGCTGCAAAATAAAATTTGTTAACGAAAAAAAAGTGCATGCTTATTATATCTTGTTTTATTAAAAAAAATACAATTCTAGAGATTTAAATAATAAAAATATTTTTTTAAGTAAAATACTCTATAAATAGAGCAAATAAGAAATCGGTTACTAACTTTTGGTTATACTAATTAAAAATTAATAACTTAATTTTATTAATTGATATTAATTTTTTTAAAAAAGACACTACTTTTTTATTACAGGGAAAAATTTCTGGTACTGACTTCGAACTTAAAATTTACAGGCTTGTTTTAAACATAAATACGGAAGAAATTTTTTAAAAATTTCTTTGATTAGTGCTTTATGCATAAAAATCAAATGAAAATGATTTACGCTCAGTGCATTCTCATTAGACAGATGTATCCAGAATTCTAGTAATATCCAGCAAGAATTTCTTGGCTGTCATCATAAAAGTTATAAAGGTATTGTTTTCTGGTAAAATATCTCTTTTTCTAAAAATTGTAATATAAAAAAAAATTATTTCCTTTTACCATAATCTTTGTAACATTTTTAAAATTTTTTTTTTAATTACAATCCCAAATTAAAGGCTTAAAACTAAAGGCGGTGTTTTTTAATTACAAAGTAATCCCATGATATCCTTTACAATTCAGAAGTTAATTTTAACATAAATTGTAACATAAAAATGTGATTGTAAAATTTGACTATTTTCTCAGTAGGAAGCAACAACTAAGGAAGGAAGAAACAACAGTTACAATTTCACTTCCAGTGGTGCAAATAGCTACGCAGTTATAATTAAGTTTCTTCCTGAAAAATCTAACAATTTATAAGCTGAATTTTATAGGAGGAAGCATCCTTTATAGTTTCATCTAATTTGCAGACAATATATGGATTCAGTATTTTTAATAAGTTTTTAAGAGTAAATAAGTAAAGGTAAAATAAAAATAAAATAAATAAAATAAAATAAAATAAAATAAAATAAAATAAAATAAAATAAATAAAATAAAGTAAAGTAAAATAAAATAAATAAAATAAAAAAAAATAAATAAAAAAATAAAATAAAATAAAATAAATAAAATGAAATAAATAAAATAAAATAAAATAAATGAAATTAAAAAAAATAAAAATAAATAAATAAAATAAAATAAAATAAAATAAAATAAAATAAAATAAAATAAATAAAATAAAATAAAATAAATGAAATAAAATAAAATAAATGAAATAAAAAAAATAAAAATAAAATAAAATAAAAAAAAAAGTAAAAAATAACAAATAAAACAAATTAAAAAAATAACACTGACTAGCAACGTGCACCCAATGCAAGAAAGGAAAAAAAGAAAGAAAAATTACATGAATGTAAAACAATAATTGAAGAAAAAAAAATGCAACATAGCGGTAGAGAGACGGAACAACTTTTTACTGGGTTCAATCAGACTGCACGGGTTAAGGGTTAATAATAGAACTTACCAACAAGAGGCGACAAGGCTCCACTCCTTCTTTGAAATGCTCTTCTTAGACCACCCCTGAGTGCATGATCTTTACAGAACAAAACGAGAGGTATGATGACTCCTTCTAAAAGACCTAACCACGCGATGATTGCTTCGTGCCACGGAGACCACAAGTACGGATAATAGACAGCCATACTCATTAACACCTATGGAGAAAAAAGTTCATTCATTCCCATGTTTTTGAAAAAAGCAATTTTATAAATGTTTCAAATTTTTTTATTATCAATAATACAATGTAATACTCCTAAAAGTCTATAAAATAATTACATAGTAAGCATGTATAAACTCGAGAAAAAAAAATCGAGATGAATATCTATTTTCTTTTAGACAATGTACTTAAATTTAACTTTAGAAATATGTTGTTAGAAAAATAAACAGAAAAATATGATCAAAAGAGTATATAGCGATTATGAAAAGAGGCGTTATAAATTGAAAAGCTTAGTGAATGTAGGTTTAGAGTGACATTTTTAAAAAAAGGTCCCTCGAATGTTCATTTATAAAGTTTATTTGTATGAAAGTTAAGGTAAAACCTAACTTTAAACAAAGTTTATTGGTTAAAGTCGGAAGTAAATTTTAATATGATTCCATTTCGGCCTTTTATTGAGCCTTCGAGGAGTTACCAAGCTGCTTTGGTAAATCCTAGTTTTCATTAACAAAATCAAGAATTTGCTAGGCTTCGGGATTTTACAGTAACATATATATACCAAGGCATTTTGAAAAATCTGAGATTTCTCAGTGAGTTAGTTCAGTTTTATTTTTACTACACAACTTTCATTCATTTTGATAAGTCCTAAAATTTTGAAATATAAAGGTTAAAAGCATTGAAAGCAGTCCTTGATTTTTATTCATAGTAGAAGACGGTTCTAAGTGCATTTGGCAACAAGCAGTCGACGGGAATTTTTTAAAAAAAACTTAAATTTTATATCACATTTAAACCTCAAGAGTGCGTATGCGAAAGCAGTTTAGATGAACGTTTAGGAATTTTTAAGATTCACCAATTGGAACTTTTTAGGCAATGAATAAAGGCAAAAAATAATCTTCTTTTTCTATTTTCAACGTTTAAAATTTAAAGCTTACTCAAACTCGCTAAAAACAGTCATTTAAAATCTTCATGCATCGAACTCTTCGACTGTAAATATCAAAATGAGCCATGTAAACGTAAAAAATACTTAACCAAAAATAGTAACAAAACATTTGATTTGAATAAATAAAACCTCTTATTCAAATCAAAATCTCTCAAATCAAAGAGAAATATCTATGTAATAAATATTTCTCGAATGAATATAAATAAAATAAAACTGCTCTCAGCGTTTAGTTCGTTAGACCGTTTATTGTTAGGAAGAATACAAAAAAAAAAGGTGAAATAAATTAAAAATAAAAACCTAGTTGAATATTGATTAAATGAATAAGGAGAAAAAAAAATCCTTTTTAGCTAATGGTTTAATTCCCGTTTTAAAATATTTCGAAACAAGAAACTGCACTTTCTTGAATTGCAAAATCTGGAGAATTCAAAAGAAACCAAAAAGCAGGCGTACCCTTCATCTCGTCGACCGATTACATTAATCCACCTTTAAAAATAAACTTGGAAAAACGCAAGTTGCATAAAACCTGGTAAGGAAAAATCTCTCCGCGTTTCCTGGACAATTTTTCAGACCGACCCGTTTTAAGTAAATGAAAAAGACACCGAGTTCTTTCATGGCAAAGTACTGGCGATCCCATTTTGTGATATAGTGACGATCAATATCACGGTTCTTCAACCTCATTCTTTATTCCAAACAGCAAGTCCCATTTATTTGAGGAAGAGAAAAAAAAATGAGAGACAGTTATACCAGCATTCTGTTGTGATTTGAAATTTCCATTTACACTTAAAGTAGAAAGATTTGCTGATATATCTTAGTTATGAGTTTCAGTTCGGTTCGAGCTGCTTAAAGTAGTCCCATTCCATTTTAAGGGTTAATTCAAATAGCTGACGGACTATCACCAGAAGAAAGAGCGAGACTCACAAGTACAATCAATATGCATCGTTTAAGAAATAGGTTTAGCAAAATAAAAAATACTCTACCGTAAAAAAAAAAGAATCATTGACACTTTTTCTGCTAATAAATTTAATCATACAGCGATCGACGCTTAAAACTTGTCTTGGTATTATACATTAAAAACATATAAGACAATACACATAAGATGTGTGAAACAGTGAAGTAATAAAAAAACGGACCACATTGAATAACTTTTGATCTAATGATCGGATCTTCACCTACTAGGACACAATCTTAATGGTTCCAGGGGATGACCTCAGATATGCTTATAATAATTAAAGCGATATCATAAGTAGTTTCTTAAAAAAGATACATCGAAAAAGGTCTGTTTTAACATTATTGATGTATGTCCTAACGACTCACCTTAAAAAAAATTAATGAGAAATATTTAAAATTTCATAAAAAATCTACGTAAGATAAACGAATTTAGTTTACGAACGAACTGTTCAGTTTAGACAAACGAAAATATTTCGTTATAAAATCAATAATGAAGTCAAAAAATTCGATTTATTAAAAAGGAATTACAATTCATATCATCTTAACATTCATATAAAATGTTATATGACATTAAATTTTTAAATAAATGTTTATTACATGACATTTTTATGTAATTAAAAAATGAAAACTTTAGAACTGCCCTCTAACAAAAACTAAATAACGGATAAATAAATAAAATAAAAACAAGACTTGGAACTAAAGTGTAATGGAAAATAAGAATTTAATTTCAATATGATTGCTCATTAAGAAAAAAATAAACCTTTTATATATTTACTTATTTAAATTTCGATTCTTATAGAAAATGTTAAATTTAACCTAGAATTTAACATTTGTTTCCCAACTTATAAAAAGTTAACAAACTTTGATTTAAATGCAACAAGCTATTGTTTTTTGAATTGCTATATGTATATTAATTATTAATTAATTTTCATAAAGACTTCATATATTCTTCCACAATTTTTTTAAATAAAAAACAGCGACATTTTTTAAGAGGAGAAATTGATATAATATGCTTAATTGCTTTTGTTAAATTTCATAAGTATTAGAAAAACAGTTTACAAAATTCTGTTTACTGATTACACTAGATTGACAAGGTAAAATCTGCGGGGGATGAATAACCAGAAGGAAATTAATTTGAATATAATATATATTTTCTGCTTTTGGCGACATCTTTAAATTGACTCCTGAAAAGTTTCGTTTCACAACAATTCTCCAAGAATGTTTGTCCGAAGAAAAAGATTTCAACTCAGAACAGCGCCTTCTTTTTACCCAAAACAACATGATTTGAGAACGAACGAAACATTCAAAAAGACTTAGTCATTTCCTGGGCTCTACAGATTCAGATAAATAATAAATTTCCTCCCTCAACATTTCACAGAACAATCACGATCTTTGGAGAGTTGGAAATGAAATTTTTTCATCTTCAGAAGAAAGCCACTGTAACAACAATGATGGTCTCCGAAAAGAATTCATTCATACGCGCTGTAAGTCGTTAATGAAAACTTACATAAAACAAATCTTCTCAAAACAAATAATACATTAATGCATCGAATTAAGCAAAAACCTAATTTAGGAATATGAATCTGCTATAATTTATGATAATATTTAAAAAAAATATATTGATAGGTTTAAATACTAGCAGAAACGAAAAAGATACGAAGATACAGAAAAATTCTAAATTTTTTTTCCAGAAATTAAAAAAAAAATGGTTAAAAAAACTAATTTCTAAATTTGTAATCTGATTTCTAATTTTTAAATTTTTAAATTTACCTTGTAAACTACTTGCGATGTAAAATCATTTACACGGCTTAAAATCTGTATATATATTTATCAAAATAGATATTTTAAAATACATAACAGAATCCCCCCCCCCCCGAAGATTTAAGAAATCCTTTCATTCTCAGATTTAAGCGATCGATTTCAGATGATGCATAGTTGATACTACAAAACTTTAAAAATAAATCCCAAATTGAATGCATTAAAATAAAAATTAATTTATTCTTTAATTTATAAATTTTTCAGAATAGATTTTTCAGATTAAATTCGGACATTAAAGTTTAGTTTGCAAGTAGTGTAAACATTTAACATTCAAACACGCATTCCATACTACTGTAATAGCAATGAAGGGTGACAAATCCTCAAATGTAGCTCATTACAGCAACGATTAGTATAAAAAAAATAAGCAAAAAGAACTTTTATTATTCGATTTCATCTAGAGGTTAGCGACTCTCTCTGAATTGGTCATAAAATTCCCACATCGAATTAATTCTCACTACTTTAAATGAGTTAATATTTAAGAAATGTAATAAATCATTTAAGACGAGTTAGCTAAAGATTCTCGAGTTGACATAAAAGATAAAGCCACCTGAAGATGGCAATCAAGAAGTTATTATCAAACCATCATGAACGGATATGGATTCGCTTGACTTCCTCTAAACGGGACAGTCACGGTGACAAAATGAAACAAAAACAATTCTACGATTCCAATGAATATTATGATGCCATAAAAATAACAGCAAAATGTGGCCAGGCTAGTGGAACAAGTAGGTGAAGCGTCATGTTTTTGTGATTTTAATCTCGTTCGCACACATTCCTACATGTAGAAGCTAGATTTGTGGTATTATTTTGAATTTATTGCACTATTCCATGTGGAACTATATTTAAAAAAGTATAATTTAGAATGTAACTATATTATTTGCAGACGACTTTTGGAGCAGAAGAGAAATAAATGAGCGCTTTAACCTCTTTTTTTTTGTTTCCGTTGTGTATCTTTACGCCTAATTAATGACACAGAGTGGAATCATCTTTCGATACGGTATTGGGTGCATTAATTGCATCGAAAGTTCTATCACAGATCATGCTTTATAATTTATGTCCAGAAATTTTATGTTTAAGTTCTCGGGAGATGGAGCTATTTATTGAAGAAAAATCAATATAGTTAACAACAATTATTTTGGGGCCAATAATAATAATTGAAAGAATTCTGTTGTCAAATTCACTAAAAAGTCACATAATAACCACTGATGTGAAGTAAAATATCAAGATGGCTTGAACAAAAATACTTTTTGATTAAAACAAATCTTAGTTTTACGAGTTTGCAGTATAGAATGTAA